GTTTTCAACTATGACATTATCTGGAAATAGGGTCTTGTCAGAGATGGGTAAAGAGAGGTCACCAAGGTGACCCCTAATGCAGTAAGAAGGGAAATGAGGCCATGGGAACACATGATGGGAGGAGCTGGAGTGTGTGAGGTAAAGGCAGACCATTCAAGGCACACATCTACAAGCCATGGGACATCAGATGTTACCATACATAAAGCACGTCCAGAGCCCACCAGCTAACTTCTGATTGGTTCCTTGCCACAGGGAAGGTATGTGATCTCCAAGTGACTGGGGCAGGTCCAGCAAGGTCAGAAGGCCAGAAACTCAGCAACACAAGCTGAGTCAGAGGCCTACGTCTGGCTGGGGCTTTTCTGCAGTCTGTCATGGTTGCTAAAGCAGGGAGCTGGGTGAGGGTCTGGTTCCTTCATTCCCCCTTCTAGGAGGACTGGTGACAGGACCCAATCATGGGTCCTTCCTGCTTGTTTATAGAGCATTTCCTTTATCGTGTGATTAGATCTCTCAACTCAGACACTGCTGGCTGTGTGGAAACTGCTTCTTCTAGGCTGGACAAGGCTAGTGCCACCTGGAAGCAGAGCAGCTGTGAACACTTCCATAGACCTGGGGATATCCAGCTTCTCTTGGGGGGTGGAGGGGTTAGGATGGGGCGTGCAGGAGACCACCTGTTCCTATGTAAGGTCCCCAGGGCCATGTGTCTTCCACAGTTATGTCTCGGCTCTGCACTTCTACACTCCTGTTGGTTCACACAGCCAGGCTGTCACAGCGATGACCCCACTGACAGTTCCAGTTCTCTGACTGACTTTATCATATGACCAAATGCTTACGACTGAAAGAGAGATTGATTTTGGTGCAGTTTTGAAAGTTCATCATGGAGTGGAGGGCATGGTGGAACAGAAGGATCTGTATCACTGGAGCCATGAGACTCAGAGAGAAAGTCTACAAAACCAGCATATGGATGACACCGTTGCTGTGTTCACAGCCCCCTTCACTTTCTGTGCAGCCTGAGAAGACCCTCTACCAGCACAGACTCCACCAGTGCAGAGCCGAATGGGCACACCCAGACGCTCCACCAGCACAGCACACATCTCCTTTTAAGTTGTTGATGTCGTGTGTCCTGTCACAGTGTCAAGGAGGCTAACGAATATACCATCTTTTCAAAGTTAAAGCAGAACAAACACATTTTCAGACAGATAAGAGATGAAAAGAATTCATCCCCAAGAGACATTCTGCCACAGTCCATTTTCTGTCACTGTAACGTAGTAATCTAATTTTAAAGAAAAGAGTCTGACCTCAGCTCATGTCTATTCCAAGGTCAGAGGCTGCATTTGGTGACTGCTCCAAGAAAGTGCAGGGCAGCTTGGGGTATCATGCATGCATCACTCTCCTGTGCCCTCATCTTGTCTTATATAAAGCCACTGGAATTCAGGCTCTGACTTACATAATCACCTCTTAAAGCCTGCTAGTCGTCTGACCTTTCCACCTCTCAGTGCCTACAGTGGGGGCTGAATTTGAACACAGGAGTGAGTGTCTGAGGGGCAACCTTAACCCATTTCCAAGCTACACACCTTCACTATAGAGGGCACCAGACAGAATAAATATGTGGACATCTACAGTGGATCATAAATTATTTCTCATCTTTAATCTCTTTCAAGACTACGGACTATAAACAACAAATGCAACTATATACAAGGAGACTGTAGTTCCTGGCACACTTAAGCTAGCTCTGGTGTGAGTGTCAGCTAGAGGTCCCTCTTCACATGTCTGCGCTAGTGATACATGTTTCTACTTAAAACAGGCCATGGTGGGAGTATTTAGCACACAGAAACAGCAAGTGCTACATACCAAGGCTTGGTCCTCAGGAGAGATGTGGTTAGGCAGTTCCCAACATGATACATGAGTACAGAGAGAATAGAAAGGGGTGGGGAGGAGTGAGAGTGGGGGACGTGTGAGTACAGGGAAAAAACCAGGAGCACAGAGAGAGAGAGAAAGAGAGGAAAGAGAGAGGTCTTAGAATACTTTCAAGGTTCTCTTTTTACCTTTCATTATTTCAGGGGTATGAGTATTTTGTCTGCATGTCTGAATACATACCAAATGTGCCTGGGGCTGTACTTCATGCGTCTGGTGCTTGTAGAGGCCAGAAGAGCCATTGCATACCTTGATGGAGTCATAGATGGTTGTGAGGCTCCATCTGAGTGCTGGGAATGGGACATGGTTCCTCTGCAAAAGCAGCCAGTGCTCTTGACCACTGAGCCATTTCTCCAGCCCCGATTTTCATGGTTTTGATAGAGTCTTTCTTTTCCCTTAAATGTAATATCTCAAAACAGCCTTGCAGCATAAGGTTTTTTTTTTTTTTAAATCTCTGGAAAATTAAAGATTAAGGGCTGCATAAGCTTATGTGAGGAAATAATTGCCAGGGAAGGTTGTAGGATTCTTTGGGTCACAAAATGACCTCCTCGGGGCTCTGAACATTCATTTTCTCTGTAATCTCTGCTCTGTCCTCAAGAGGAAGGAGGAAGCCACTAGAACGGAGTTGGTAAACAGTCTTAGATCTGAGGGGGAAACTGGCTTGTGATATAGATGGCATGCTTATTTTCATACCCGGAGAAAAAGCTTAGGACTGTGAGAATAAGTAAGCTCAAATTGCATACCCAATGCCATTACCAGGAGGATGACTTCATATTCTATACACTCTGCAAACAAACAGGCCTTTCCATGTATAAAGCGATGCCAGCTATGCCCCTGGAGTCCTGCTGAAAATCGACAACTCCCCATCTTAACATGGTGAAGGTGCAGAAGTAATGGAGGGTCATGGATTCGAGAAGTATGGACTTTCAGAACTAATTCATCTTAGGAAGAGAAGGATCCAGATTGCAGTGGGGCTCTCGGGCTTCTCAGGCTGAAGTTCGGCTAAGACACTGACTGGCTAAGCATCAGTGGACTGAACGACCTCCCTAAGCCTTGCTTCCTTCATCCATACAGTGGGCATAGTTGTTGTCAAACCTGATGGGAATTAGTCAGCAAGTGTCCATCTGCAAACAGGAGGTGAACTGGTCAGCAAAGCCTGGAGGCTGACCCTGAGAAAAAAGGAGCCAGCTGCTTGCACTCTGACACATATTTGCTAAGAGCCCATGGAAGCTAAGTGTACCCTCTGGAGAGCTAAGGATGGGATTCTGGAATGAGGACAATAGCCAACTCTAAAATGGAAATAACAAAGAGTGGGGAGCGTCCTTTGTATTAAGACGGATGCAATGTTCAGAACAAGTAGGCTCCTTACACACCACAAAGCAACCATGATTAGTTGGTATGGTGGCATACACCTGTACATCCAACACTCAAGAGACAGAAACAGGACTGTGTTTCAAAAACACAAAACCAAAAAGAACCAGAAAGTAGGGCCATCAAGATGTCTCTGTGGATAAAGGCACTTGCTGTCAAACCTGATGACCCAAGTTCAATTCCTAGGATCTACATGGTGCAACTGAAACAACTCCTCTTCGGGCCTCCACAGGCAGACTGTGGCATATGTGTGCACATACAGAGAAGTAATAAAAAGTATTTTCAAAATCTCAAAAAAAGCAACAGCAATCATCATTACTGACTGTGCTGACTATGATTAATTCAGTCACCCAACACAAAACAGGGAGGGTGGGAAAAGTCAAACTCACACCATCACACAGGGTACCAGGACTGATGCCTGCATTGGCAACGCAAGTCAACAGCTTAGTGTTCAAATTTCTCCCACTCGGGATATGCTCCCATTAGGTCACAGGGTTAAGCCACATTGGTGAAGAGCCAAGCCAAAGTCAATGTACCCACAAGGAGCACAGCAATCTGACTTCCGGGAAACACTACAGAGAATTTTTATTTGCATCTACACAGACCCTACTCTGCAGTCAGCTTGCTTCAGCATCCCCAGCTCTACAAGTGTGGGGGAGATTGATTAATCTTTCAGATGAAGATGTTGCTGTAAATCTAAAGGCGGGCACGCCCAGTCTTTCAACCCCACGCATCCTCATTATTGTAGCTGCTCATCTCCTATGGCTGCTGTACTTCCTCTCACAGGAAAGTCAGAAAGAAATGCAAGGGGTCGTCCTGTCCTTGTTCCTACACACACAGGTAACTTTCCATCCCTCAAAATCTAGAGGCTGGACCTCCCCCATTCTTGCCCCCTTCCCCCGCCATCCTTTTGTTCTTGTTAGAGTGGAGACACTGTCTGCAGTGGAACGTTACTGCGGATGCTTTTCCATTTGTATGTATTCATGGTTGTGTCTGTGGTGACAACTTATGATAGGGTTATTCTCGATGAAGGATGCTGCCCTCAAACCAAACTTTGAGCCCAGAACCTTCAAGGAAAACAGGTGGTTAGCACAGAGGGGCAAACAGAATGTGAGATGTGACTGAAGGACACACAAGGTCACTTGGAGGGTAGCCTTGCTTATTACAGATCTGCCTGCCAAGCATTTCTCAAGTCTGAAGTTCTCTAGCCTGCCTGTGAATGCTAAAGTCCCACTAGTGTGAATGGCCACAGGAGTTTCCAGGGGGTTTCAGGCTACAGCCTAGTGGAGAGCTCTTGTCAACAGATGGGCAGCACACACATCTCTGGAACATGCAAAGAGACCTGAGCACAAAGAACCACCAAGCACAAGAATCTATTTCCTCCATTCCAGCATCATGACCTGCTAGGAGAGGGGGAAGCTGTGTGTTCCCCAGTCCCAGACTAAAGTGCCGACGGGTGAGGCTATGCTCTTGCTCAGCTGCTGGGCTCAGCAGCCCTGACTACACCAGAGGACAGGGCTTGGGGAGGTGAGCCAGATGGTACACTTCAGATGCACCATCTCCCTCCTGCTTGCACAGAACCCTGACTCAAGATGGGAAAGAAAAACACATAGCATGCAGACTGGAAGCCCAGGAGGTACCAGAAGCACAGAACAGACATTAATGTTTAACCAAGTGGTCATCCACACAGTCTTCTGGAGTCACTAGAGGCCTCTTACCTGGTGCTTTCCCATTCTTGCTCGTCTTTGTCCTTCTCTTCCTTCCCGTCTCCCGTATGTGGGTGTTTCTGCACAATCCGCATTCCACCAGCCTTCACTGAAATAAAAACAAAATCGGGTGACCAGGGTGGAGGCGCACCTGCCCCAGGACCTGGTGCACCTGATGGAAGGCTGTCCTTCTTGAATGGACTCCAAGAACAGAGATAATCATAAATGAGGGGAGGGTAGTGTGATGTAGAGGAGACTGGGCCTGATACAGTCCTGGGTGCCCTTTGACATCTTAGAGACTTCCCAAGGCTCCTGAGTTCCTTTCTGATCACCTCTTAAGTACTAAGAATAGCAGTGTGAGTAGAACATAGGCCACGTGACAAAGTGGCTACTCTAGGGTCTATATGTCATACGGACATAACACGGGCCACTTAAACCCCGCTTAGTGACCTTACTTCTTTAAACAACAGTGATTTGGACATGGTGACATAGCCATGGCTGCCCAGTGAGTTCTGGGAATTTCCCTAGCACTGGGGTTACAGACATGAATCATGCCCAGCTTTTGGGTGGGTGCCAGCAATCTGAACTCAAGTTCTCAGACTTTCAGAGTAAGCACTGGGCTGACACTGCCGTTTGCCCAGCTCCAGATGGGTTCTTCTCAAGAGACGGCTACTGGGTGAATCTCAGAGCCCAGCCATGGGCTACAAGGCCATTCAGAACAACCCTTCCCAAACTGTGCTACAAAGGCTGCGGTTCCCAGGGGTCATGTTCTCTTTATGGAAACACACTTCATGTACTACAGAACTCACCTGTGTAGACTGTCTAACACAGCCCAAGTACATTCAGCCATGAGACCATTGCTGTGACTGCTTTTCCTCACCCCGTGCAGAAATCCCATCCCCATGAACAGTCTTCACCGCCCATCCCTCCTTGGCTTCTGAGTATCATCTTTTAGTAGCCTTATTCTAGGACATGGTTTGCAAGTACAGGCCCTATGCTCACCAAGCCTTACACCATGATGTGGAGCTGAAGTTCTTTGAAGAAGCTGATTGATTCGAAGACCCTGGAGAATGCCTGATCTAGCCTGAGCTGAGCACTGGAACAGTGCACAGATGGAATCCTGCAGGCTGAGAGTTAAAACTACTTTGGTTACATTCAGCCATCGACTTTCAACCTCTATCTCTAACCTAATGTTCTCAAGACTTGGATGACCTTCTAGGATGTATTCATGCTAAGCACAGCACAGCGGACCTGTAGCCTTCACTGGACCTAAAACTAAGAATGAAGTAACAGCTGAAGCCTGTAGGAAAGATTTCCCACTTGGGGCCAGCCCACCTTCCTGACAACTTGACAAGGCATCTGCTGACTGTACTGACTTGTGACTTCTTTCTGTGGCTACAAAAGCTCACTACGTCTTTCACAGGGGTTGTGACAGTCCCCCAAATCTGTGTTCCTGAGATACAGGTATGCCAATCTGGCTCAGGATAAACTGTTTTCTTTAAAATAGAATTAGTTTCCATAGCATGTTCTTGCCAGCACATAGCTTCATAAACGGGGACCTCCTAAGATAGGGACCTCCTAAGACAGAGACCTCTAAGTGTGGACAGAGTAGGGGCACTCAGAGCCCTCCCTGTCCTCCCGAATATCCATAGCTTTCTACAACAGCATAGCCACTCCCATGGAGTGGATTAGTCAGCTTGTCACTGGTGTTCCTGGTTTAGATGGACTCTGCTGGGTCACAAGAATGGACAAGTTTACAGTGTGGATGGACAGCCAGGAGCAGGCGAAGGTCTTCTCAGGTTCATCCTTGGATTTCCCTGGGAAACATGGCCAGCCTTAGGTTTGGAAGGCAAGGATACTGGTTTCTCAAGGGACTTGCTCTTCCCTCATTTCTAATCATGTGCTGTTTCCGGCACACCTATCTTACAATTGCCTGTCCCACTCTTTTGCCATCTGAGGTCTTTGTGCATCTACTCTTGCTGTCTGCCTCTGTCTGCTGACCCTGAGCTTGATGGCTGTGGACCTTGTGCCATCTTCCCTGGGAGCGACACCACATGAGTCTTTCCTGGTGGACACAGTAGCTCTGTGGAGACGCTGCACCCGCTTCCCTTCAGGCCCTGACACACTTCCAATGGATTTCTTAGCATGGAAAGGGCAACAGCAGATGTCATGGTTTGAATGTGGCATGTCCCACTCGGCTGTGTTTGGAGCCCCTGGCCTCCAGTTGGTGGCTCTGCTTAGCAAGACTGTGGGCCTTTGAGATATGGTGCCTAGCTGGTGGACATAAACAGCTAACGGGGTGGGGGTGGCTTTGAGGATTATCACTCAGCTCTGGTAACAGTCCTGGGCACTGTTTCTTGATCTGTCAAGTCTCCAGTCACCACACCCTCTAGTCACCTGAGCTCTGCCATGCCTGCCTGGCTTCAAGAGGCTGAGATTGTAAGCCAAATCTCATCTTTCCTCCTTTACCTTGCTTCTGGCGGGTTATTTTCTCATAGCCTAGTAAGTCGAGAAATGTACCACATAATGTATATTTCAACTTAACCGGCACTAAAGGCATTCCTGAGCTCACAAATTCTTAGACTTTTATTTCCATCTGGAGCCTGGGCTAATGGAATTCGGCTTCTTGCTGTTTCACTGTGCTGCTGGAGAGGCCCCTCCTCCACAGTCTGACCTCTAAGCACCCAGCTTTACGTGGGGATGTAGGAGTCCCACACCCCATCCACTAAGGCCCATCTCATGTCTCAATTTCAGATCCTTCTTTGTTCCTGGTCCTTAGGGATTCCCCTCACTATGAGTTCAGATTGAAAAATTAAAGAGACAGCATTTGTAGGCAAATTTTTAACCTAAGACTTCCATCCCCACTTGAAGTGGAGACTTAGATCAAAATTCTGTGGTTTGTTGTGGTTTTCTATGTGAGAATTGTGGACGTTTTTGACAAAACAAAGAGTCTAGAACTGCCCCATAAGTGCTCTTCAGAATATACTTCCTTCTTCCTGCCCATGCCCACCAGAAAATGCTGTTTTGTCACCAAATACATATGGTGAAGTATTAATAGTCATAGTTTTAAGATTGTGATGACATTTGCCATCAAATACATATGGTCACCAAATGCATATGGTGAAGTATTAATATTCATAGCCTTAAGATTGTGATGTGTATGCCATCAAATACATATGGTCATTAAATACATATAGTGAAGTATTAATATTCATAGCCTTAAGATTGCGATGGTGTTTGCCATCAGTGCCTCTAAAAAGATAAGTTAAATCTGAAGGTGAATTCCAACACAACTGCACTTGTGCATCGGCGTGTACATGCATGGAGAAAAGGTCATGTAAATCCATCTGCCATCTTGGACTTCCAGCCTCCAGAACCACGAGAAAGAAATGTCTATTGCAGGAGCTGCCCAGGTGAGGCATTCTGTTACAGAAACGGTGGCAAAGGGACCGTCACTGATAAATGACGTCTCTGGAACATTTCAGTGTGGCAGTTGGCAGATGTGTTCCACAAAGTGACAACAAGTGAAAAGGGCTGTGCCATGAAGGCAAAGAGAACTGATAGTGAATGTCAAGGTGACATCTGAAACGGTCACATCCTTGCAGGTGTCCCCAGAACAGCTTGTTCACTCCTCTGCAGAAGCCCATGGTGCCAGAGCCCAGTCACCTAGCATTAGCACTTCCATCTAATTTAGTTTCTAAAAACAATTAACTCCATTAATCCATCTCAGTATGTTTGTGATTAATGCAGCAATAAAAAGTGCCAATGGTAATAATAACTCAAGGCAGAGGCAGATTTATTTTAGCTTGCAATAATGCCAAAAGTTATGACAGCATGTTGCATGGTTCTATCACCTTATCTAGAATTCTGTTTGAAAAACTAGAAATCTATGGACTCATTTACAGTCAAATGTTCTATCACTGAGCTATATTTCCCCTGTGGAATCATTTGCAAATCTAGGTTGTTTTGTTTTGTTTTGTTTTTTTCAGAGACACTCAGAAAGGAGAATTCCAGATTTTTGTTTTGTGGTTGTTACTGAGATGAGATTCACATTTGAAGCGTGACAGCTTCCTTTTAGGCTGAGCGTAATGCTGAGGTTAAAGACTGTATGCCCAGCCTTCAGATTCAAACCCCAGCTCTGCCCACTTGTGCAAACGTATATACTTGTGTGTCTGACACTCTCTGTGTCTCAGGGCCCTCTATTTGTGAGGAAACATGTCCAGATATCCAGAGACATCTCAGGATAACTCAATCAGCTCCCGAGGCATCTCCCGAGAGAGCCTGGCGTATATGATACGCTCCACTCTACCAAGCATGCACTGAAGTGAGGATTCACAGCTCAGAACAATCTCAAGTACTCAAAGCCTGTGTGCCTGAATATCTCCTCACCGTGGAGGTAACAGAACCCACAGGGAAGGAGACCACTGTGGTGCTGGCAGGTGATGGTTGGCAATCAGCTGACCTTCATCACGAAATCATGGCTAGGTAAGGACGCTTCCAGTGACTCTCAGATCCTGGGTAATCCTGCCACTTCTGCCTGTTTATTGTCACGATGTTCGAGGCACCATCATCACACTTCAGTCACCCTGTGCTAGGGCCCAGTTTCCCCCAGGGGCACACAGTCTGCAAAAGGCACAGCTGGACCAGACCGATCTAGATGATCTATGTCCTTAATCACCAGGAACCCTTCCAAGCACAGAATGCAGACAGATTACAGTCAAGTCCAGATCATCAGATCACCTGCAGGAAGGGAAAAAGTTTGAAATAAAAAGCAATTTGTGGAACAACTGTCCAGATGGAAAGAGGGTAGACCCGGAAGCAAATGGAGGGGGCAGTGACTAACTACCCAGACATCCCTGGCTAAAGTTCCCTTCAACTGTCATAGTGCTGAACTCAGAGGGAGTCACTGGCAGTTATTGTTAAGGCTCAGCAAGAGGCTGGGAAAATCTGTAGCAGGATGGTAGATGGAGGAGAGAAAGGTCTTTCAGGACCCTGCAGGATACTGGGCACAGCATCTGATGGGGAGGGGGTTTAGCTATTAATAACACACACCATGTCTCAAAAGCTTGAGTGCAGATCATAAAGCATGTTGTGCAAGGGCAGCTGCCCTTGTTGTTCTTTGAGAAGAGCGGTTGAAAATGGTATCTAAAGTAGGTAATCCACCCTTAAGAGTTGAAGGGCTCTGACGACTGTTTTGGTGGGGAGAACAAAAGAAAGCAACCAGCACATTGTAGGTTAGGAATCAAGCACAGTGCACTGTAGAGGCTTGTAAGCAAGGGGAGCTGGAATTGGACTTCCTCTAGGATATGTGAGATAGGTGGGGGGATGTGGGATACGGGCTTGAGATGAAAGGGAACGGGGCAAAGGAACGAATGCAGCTTATCTTTATTAGGAGTGTCTCTATGTCACCGGGCAGGGAAGGGGCCTCCCCTCCATGGTGCTCATGAAACCCAGACTGTGAGCTCTGTAAGGAAAAGGTGGCGGAAAGAGGGCAGAACCAAGTGCAGACACTGGGTGTTGATGTATGGCCTATCAGCTTGTCAGCTGTGGGAGATCCCATAGAACCCTCTGCCCCAGACTGTGTAGGGTTCCAACAGAGGCTCTCTGTGATATGTGCTGAAATTATCAGTCCCTCCCTGATGCCCTGATCCTGCACCTCAGATAGCTCATCACTAAGGAAGCTGAGAGGAAAATGAAAACTCTCTGCACTTAGGATACAGGATGCTGAGGTGCTAAGTGATTTAAGTCACACACGGCAACTCCTTTCACTCTCCGGGGCTGAAAAATGAAGAGACAGGGTGTGGTCTAGGAAGGTTGTGTCTATCTTCCTACCACCACTGTGTCTGAGTGCAGAAGCAGCCACAGAGCAGCCTTGTGAGTCAGAAGAGAAAGCAGGACCCACTGCTGGAAGTGCTGGGGAGAATTGGCACCAGAAATCCTGGAGGCAGGGACTGTTAGGTGTTGGTTGGTGCCACTTCTGGACTCTGTTGCAATTGGCTTAAGGCCATTTAGCTGGGTCATGGGCAACAGAATGGGGAAGAGTAACTGTGGTGGACAGTATAATGTCCCCTTTCCCCAAATGTGTTCTATGGCAAGGCGAAATTAGGGTTGCAGATGGAATTAGAAAGCTAATCAGATGAATTTAAGATTACTCTTTATGAGCCAGGTGGAGCCAGGGGCATAGCGGGGATGGAGGAAGGGGCCACTAACCAAGGCATGCAGATGAACTCAACATGGAGAAGGCCTAGAAAGAAGGCTTTCCTGAGAGCTCCAGAGGATGCTAACCCTGCTCACACCTTGACCTCAGCATTTTGAAACCTACTGTGAACTCTTCCCAGACTGTGCAAGAAGAAAGAACTGACTTGTTTTGCATTTACTGAGATATAAAAGCAAAGGGGCATGACTAAAAAGAGCAAAGTGCACCATTTCCCACTTGACTTTAAATAAACGCAATTGTTTGTCTAGTGACTTTAAGTTCATAGTGGTTTAAAACCACCAAGTTTACTATAATTACCTGCAGTAGCTACAGAAACTCACACAGCGAAACATGCCTCTTATGGGCCCCACCAGACACCTGATACGTCTACCACATTCACCCCTCTGTGGCAGCCTGAGCAGACATGGCAGCATCATGGCACAGAGAGTATCTAGGACTCACACTGCTCCTTGCTGGAGGCTCAGCAGAAGAAAAAGAAACTTTGATTTCTTCAGCTCATTTACTGTACCTAAAAGAACTGTTTTTAAAAAGTGAATATTCCCTATGTAAACAGAAAGATGTCTGAGATATGGATGGGAAAAGGCCACCAACCCCAGTTAGGACACAGAGCGCAGCAGCTGAAATGAATAGGGCACACACAGAAGGTTCCAGAAGGGGAAGAGAGCCAGAGCTGTTTAAGGGACAGAGGAAGCAACTATAACTGCATTAGAAATTCTAGATCAACCCTGGTGGAAACAACTAAGAGAAACCAGTCAGTAAAGCATCGTCTGCCCCGTGGCATGCTGGGAGTGGAAGCAGAGGGTGCTTGCTCCCTTCCACCTGTGGTCACTGCCTGGGTTCACTAGCTGATTATAGAACCTGTTTTCCATGTATGTGACAGGATGCTCTTTGCAATAAAAGGCGGATTCACTCTCCATTTCAGCAACGGAACAGTCTGAATAATCCAAAAAAACTTCCTGCAAGGAAGTACTTCAGGGTCCATTATCATCCCCAGGCTTTAACACATCCTGAATCCATGTCTGAACAATTAATGTAATGGAGCAGGATTATTGTGTTGCTGAAAATGGCAACTTGACATAAACAGTCACGTTTATATTTATTTTCATTTGACTTAGTTCTGTGGTGGAAGTGAGGACAACTTTTGGGGGGAAAGCCTCACAGAAAATCAACAACACTGGACAGGATCTCATTACCTGATCTGGAGCTCTGACTCCTCTGGGCAATGGGTGCATGTGTTGGGGGCTATAGGCCTGAGACATGTATTTGCCAAGCAAATCTTTATCCAGTTCATAGGGGGACTGGCAGGGATGAGTACATGTAGCTTGGGCAGCTGGAAAGACCATGGCTGCTGTTAAAACTGAACACGGGCAGCTTCTTTATACGTTGCTGCTTTAGTAACAGCAGTGAAATGGACTGGCTCACCCCCATTTCTCCGTACACATTTTCTGAGGAGAAGCAGCAGTGTGGGCTACAGTTAGGGCTGACTGGCATGCTTTCAGGGAGGTGTGTGCAGAACACAGTGAAGTACCACCTATCACAGGAAGGTCTCTGTGCAGCACCGTCCATCCACCCTCCTCTTTGCAAACCATCTCAGTAGTCTCAGAGCTTGGGTGTGGTGTCTGTTGAGTGATGAATACTGTCAGGCTGCTGAAGTCCTTCAGGCCAGTCCCCGACCCCCATAACCAGCTCTTAGAGGTTATCAAGTCACCTCAAGTAGCTGTGCCAATGACTTAAATGGCACTGTTGGCTTGATGGTAGGCCACTGTAGTGAAAGTGCCTAGCACTTGCATACTTGGTGTTATGTTGTTACATTGTCCAGACTCTAGTTACAGTTTCAACCTCTCTGAATCTTTACCAGTGCTAAGGAGGATGACAGGGAGGCTGCCGAAAGCTAGGAAGCCAGAAGAGTGGGAGAGAGGAGAAGGTAGGAGCAATGAGGGAGACGGAGCACTGTAGGCACTGGAGAGGCCCATAAAGAGAAAACACGAGAGAGGACAGCAAAAGAGTCATGGGAAGAGAATTTTATTATTTCCAATTAAAGATGTAAGCACAAGTCTGTTATACAACGTAAGCACTTAATGAAAGTGTTCCCGAAGTTCTTAAGGCAGTCATTTTGACTTATGAACTGCGTTCTTGGCAATCCTTTATTATTCTTTAATAGCGGGTGGCCCTTTCTTCTTTTTAAAAATGTTTATTCTGTAGCGCTGCTGCTCTCTAGTACTGCCAGACCAAGAAAGGCACACTCTGGCCTTCCTGTCACAGAAAGGCTAAGTCCAGGAACTTGTGCAGATAGGGAGAAACATGCGCAGGAGGGGCACGGCTGAAAACCACAGCTTCTTCCCACCTGCACCTCCAGCTGGCCTTGGGATATCCGGCATGTGACACAGATAGCTACGGTTATTGATAGCTAAAGGGCTTGCCCTAAGGTCACCTAAGCTTATCTGTTTGATTAACTAGAGGAACAAACAGGCAAAGGAGCAAGAGTTATAACCCCAAGGCCGAGCTCAACCAATGGCTAGCCAGAGGAAGACAATCTGATCCAGCCTCTAATGTCAGGTGAGGAAATAGGACTCCCAGAGGAGCACAGTGGTGCTCCTCAAAACTCTGACTTGGAGTCCAAGTGCACTGCTACACAGGTGCAGAAAGGTGGTTCTCTCTGTAGGCACAACAAGGTATTTCATTTCTAATTCAAAAGTCTGGGTGCAAACCAAGGAAAGCCGGAACGCTCCAGTTTCCCCCATGTGTGCTTCTTCTTCCTCTGACACGAAGATGTGCATATGGATAGTCTCCATGTGCAATTTAATTAATGGTATTTTGACTCAGGCACACATTAATGAACTCCTGGCCCAGGGGAAGAGCGGGAAAGAGGGCATAAGTGGGCGGGGTCTTTCTTTTAAAGGGGTCCTTTGCACCTGGTGCAGACTAGTACTCATGGAATCCTGGGCTGACCAGGTCACTGCCTGAGTGCATTCTGCCAGGTGACAGGGGCAGCCAGCATAATCCTTACAGTTGGAGCCAGTGTCTTAAAGGAAATCTTTCAAGGGTGTTTTGTTTGAAGTGAGGATTGAACCCAGAACCTTACATACTCTTATACAAAGAGTTTGTTTGCATAGCAATGGATCCTGTTCTAACTCCTAAACCCAGCAGCTGCAGTGTGACTTTTTTACTACAGAAAGAAGGCACAGATGTATACCCCAGCCAGCACATTCCTCTAAGGTTTGCTGTTTGAAGCCCTGGTTTATAGCACCAGCATGTGCAGTCAAGATCTGGAGGAACTTTAAGTAGCTGTGGCTTCTGGGACCCGCAGGCTTCGAGCAGGCTCTCAGGGATGCTTCCTCCACAGGCATCCTTGCCACCTAACCCCACCAGGGCGGCCTCGGGGAGGAAAAACAGGAACCGAGTGGAGGCGGCGCCCAAAGCACACAAAGGTTGCTTGCCATTTCCTAAGAAAGGTGGCTCTTTCCTGGACTTAACTCCCTTGGCTTGGAAGTTCAGAGTTTGCTTTAAAAACTCTGAACATAGTTTTAACCACTGGACGAGAAAAGAAAATGTGAGGAAAGGAAGTCACGCCGGGTGATAAACGATCAGAATTATTTCCGCTCCTTTGGTCTGTCAGTGTGAAACGGTGTCAGCCCACGATTAATCACCATGACATAACGCTGCCTTTTAATTGTTGGGGACTCACCCCAAACATCTGTGCAATCGCAGGAGAAACTGCCTACGTCTGAGTTTTGACTTGTACAACTGGTTTTA